CTTTCCCTATCTTGTGGCTTCTGCTGGCTACTACCAACTATTTACAATTGAGTTTCCCCGTTGTTGAATGCGGGTGAGTGCTTTGGTTGATCAAGTGGAGTGGAGCGTTAGAGTTGGTGAAGTCTTTTCCTCACGCTATTTGGGTGAGCATCTGAGTTTTTCCGTTTGAGTGATCGCCTTTTTCTTTATTAAATAAACCTAATAATTAAGTATTCATTATGCTGGTTACTTTGGGCTTGGGAGTAATTTATAACCCAGTACTAGTGAAATACTAAGCTGGAGCTATTGTCTTCATATGCTTTATAGCTTGATCTTTATAAAAGAGTTGCTTCTTTTACCTTGAGAGGGGGAAAAATGGAAAAGGGCTAACGTAGGTTTGTTATGACAGCTGGCATACCAATCCAGTGATGAACCAGTTTGATATCGTCTCTAGAACTTACTTGAGTGTTTGGTCCTCTGTCATTGGCAGTCGGCATTTTCTTTATGATCTCTCTGGAAGCTTGGATTTAATATTCCACATCTGTCTCATGTTACTCAATGGAACAGGCTTTTCTCTTCGATTTTAGTAGCTTACCGCAAGTATTTCGGGACTGCTGGCTTTCGCCGGTCTCACAATTTGCTTATATTGTATTCTTGTTAGCTGGTGTTAAGTCTAGAATTTTTGGAGCAAAGGTCTATCAGGATAATTTTCTCTAGAAACACTTTTAGGAGAAAAAATTAAAAAAAATAAAAATAAATTTCTTTATAAGCTAAAACTAACTTATTGATCTGTTTGAATACAAATTTAGAAAAACTTTTTAAGAGTTTCTCTATTAAAAATAAGGAGTTTTTTCTCCGGTAGAGAAGATTTTACAACTTATAGGAGACAACTTCTACAAATTAGTTTATACATAAGTTAAAAATTAGTTTATAAATATGCTAATTTTAACTTATGAAAAACTTATTTAATTTATTTTTTTTTTCTTTTCAAGAAGCGTTTTTAGAGAAGTTTACCGAAGCGTGTCCTAAAAAGTGAATGTGAATGTTATATATGTGTGTTGCTATGGTTAAGGGCTGGCAGCCATGTCATATTCCTATGGATTGCTGAAAATGACCTTGGGATGCATATTGGGCAAAAGTGTAAAACTGGTTAGCAATGTGTGGCATAGTTAAGGGAGTGATGCCAATGATGTTGTTTTAACATCTTGCTATTGTTGCTGTTTCAGGATAAACCCTCCTTCACACTTATTATCATTACTGTCATCCTCAAGTAGGTCTGTCCTTCCTTTCTTCTTGTAGAAGGTCAATTTCATGGATGATTGTCCTGCAAAATTAAAAATCATCCCTGATCACTTTCAAGTTCCAACATCAAGTGTAGAGTCTCCTAGGAGTGGAACATCATCTATTACAGAACCTGGAACTGATCAATCTTCAAGGTATTGTTTCCTGGTTAAAAAGGAATAATAAAATCAGTTATTAAGAAACTTTCAATTTATTTGAAATAAGTTACTCAATCTAGCTTAGATTAGGTCCTTGCGCCATCAGAGGACTCGAAGAAAATTAAGGACAGCTTTCATGTTGAATTTGTTTAGTCCACGGCGGCTTTCATGGGGTTCCACTACTGGAGGTCAGGAAAAGGTCTGATTTGAACAGCTTTTATGCTGTGCATTGTTTGTCATCATGGTTCTGTTATACCCTACCATTAAAAATTTGTATTCTGTAGGTTGAGCTAACAGCTGCAGAAGTAGAGTCACTTCGATCGGAGCTTGCTGATATAGAGGAGAGGGAAGCTCACTTGAAAGCACAGTGAGTGATCCTGAACACTGGACTATTAACAGCTTTGCTGTCATTTTGTAATATAATTGTTCACTTATAATCAGTTTTCTTTAGTTTATAATTCTTGTATCCTCTTAGTATGCTGATGTCATTGATAAAAGAAGCACAGTAGGAGTGTAGATGCTAGCATAAGAATTGAAGTCTTGACATGTGTGACCGTTCAAGTATTAAGAATAAAATGAGGAATTTCCTTTTGCTTTCATTGTTCTCCATTTCACTCCTTACTAGTGAATGGTGATTCTTCCTGGTGTGTTAGAGACAGCTATTCTTTAGTTTTCTTTGGAGTTGAAATTGCTAAATTGAGATAGCAGGGAAATTAACTATCCCCTTTCTTTCTGTGGGGAATTCTTGCATTACTCTAGTTTAAGAGAACTGACATGTTTTCATTAAATAATGATTTTATTTTAATTTTGTTTCACATAGGTTGGAACATATTGATGAAGTTTTGCGGTCTGCTCGTCTATCTGGATATTTATACATTCGAACTGTACTGACTGCTAGCCCCATTAGTTTATGTTTCATTGGTTTGTGCTTCATTATTTATTTTACATAACAAGCTGAACACTCATTTGTTTTTGATCTTTCTGTAGAGATGGGCAGCACTACCAGGAGAACCTCCGCCTATAGATGATACTGAAGTAGATGATTGGCTTCCTCGTTTTGTTGTTCTCCATGGAACGTGTATATTTTTGTATTTGTCGTGTACAGGTAATGCAGTTAGTTGTCTTCCTTTCTACAAGTCATAGTTTTCATTTTTTGTTTACTATTTTGCTTTAATAATGTAGGCAAATCTAGAGCAGTAAATCTCTGTTCTTTCGTATTATTCTTCCACACCTCTATTCTTTGAATATATACTGACATGTCAATACATTTGCTGAAGTTGTATTCCTTTTGTATGTGCTTGTTTGTTACAAACATTTTTATCCCTACTGCTAAACTAGAATATATGAAAGTGAATCCAGTGGTATGATATAGATTAAGGCAATATTCTGTTTTTCATTCTATTTGTTATTGTACTTTATGTAAGTCATACAAATTTGCTGACATGCAGCACTCCAACTATTTTTAGTCAGGATAACTCTTGTGAATTGATACATAATTTTTTCATATTTGTTTAAAAAATGAGAAGCATTATTCATGAGTGGTTGGAACAAATGGAATGAAGTGACAAAGGGAATGGGTCATGGTTGGTTAGATCAATGGAATGGGAATAAACATACTCAAGGGAAAAAGTATTCCTGCAGTTGTAGCAATGGATATTTCATCACAAAGTGATGCAATGTCCATTTCATTTTCAGTTTTCAGTTAAATGCATGACAATACTAATCAGAACATCAAAATTTACTGGGCTGAACACTTTTTTTTTCTTTCTTTTTTTTTTTCTGAAGATAAATGACATTTGTGCTTTCTACATTATGGGTGAATGAGAAATGAAATGAAAGTATCGGAAACCAATTAATTACCAGATATGTGTGGAATTCCTTTTCAATGATATTTTTTGATAAACCCTTCTCAATTATGAAACATTCCTTCTCTCTATTGGCTAGGTCCTTTTCCAGTACTTGCTTTAAGTTTGGGACTGGCATCTTTTCTTTCAAATCAGCAGCTCATAGCGAGTCTTCATCACAATATCTTTAAAGATGTCTATATGATTGTTTGAATTTTGAGCTGTCAAGAATCCACACTCAAAGCTTAAACTGTTATAAGGTCCATGAATTATTTTTATCAATATTTTTAACATGCCATTATGTCAAAGGCTTGACAAGCCAACCAAATATAAATAGAGTAGGAGCAGCAGGGAATTTACTCTCGACAGCTTTGTCACAGATGCCCCTCATATCACGCTTAGAACAATTGCACATGGTTAGCTCAATCAAATAAATGTTTAAGCTATTTGGGAAAGGCCCAAGTTTGTTTTTAAATTTTAATCAATATCTTTGAAAAGAAAAATTGCACATGGTTAGCTCAGTCAAATATATTCTATTTTATATTTTATATTTGATTCTCAAACTTTCAGATGATTGACTTTCATTTACAAATGCATGCTTGCTGATCAAGGGAAAAAATTACAGATCTAAGCCCCCAGGACTCAACCCTTCTATCTGATATTGTTGAAGTAGGGAGTTTACCATGTTTTAAGCGAGAAGATGATGAAATTCAGTATGCCTTTTATATTTTAACTCGTCATGGATTGCGCTATGAGTGCTCCAGCAGTTCCAAGATACAGGTGTGTCCAAGTTAAGACAATCTGAATCTTAGTTGTAAATTTGTAATTATTATTAGGCTATACTTTCATATTTTTAATTATACAACTTTGGTCATATAATTTTGAAAAATATGTAATTTTGATTCCACCGTCAAATTTGCACATCCATGATTCATCGATACATAATTTTTAGGGTGATAGTTGTTACATCACATGCATGCAATACCATGGCAGCATGGAATTCCATCGAGTTTCCACTTTTTGCATGAACAACTTTTTTGAATTTTAATAATCAATGGACGCAGATTTGACAATTTATAGTGGAACCAAAATTGCATAATTAAAAATAGGGAAACTAAAATTGCATATTGAGAATTAAAGAGAGATGAAATGTGCAATTCGGCCTTATATTATTATATTTCAGTTTTACAGTCTGAGCAGATTCTAAGTAATTTATATCCTTGATATAATTATTAAATACAGTCTGCATTCAATCACATATGTCATGATGTCAAATGATGTAGTTTATCTCCATTCTTCTTCTTTCAGGTGGACTCTTGGTTATCAGCTTTACAAAGTGACTGCAAAGTCGAATCTGATACATTTAGTAAAGCTGACCGCAAACTGAAATCTGATACATCAGTTTCCGATGGTTCGATTGAGATGTAACATAAGTACACCTTGTTTGGTGAGTATAAGTGGCTTTGTAAGTCTAAGCTACTTTGTGAATAAGACACTAATGTCTTGAAACGTTTTCATTACCATAATAAACAACAATTTAGTTGTCACTTTTGGCTGAAACCAGGACTTGAACTATCCATTAGGTTTTAAATCTTGCAATTTTAGTGACCTTTCTATATTATGTATGTCAACTAGAGTTAGGCTCCATATAAGAAGCATAAAAAATGAATGCTTGTACCTGAATAATGAGTACTGTAGCTTCTTGAGGGAAAAAAGAAACTCTGCAAGAAAGGTGGTTAAACTTCTTTGATCTCTTTGGTTCATGGCTAGCATTATGAGTTGCTATTGTCCAATTTTCATTTTCGTCCAGGGGAGATTCTGATATGATCTAAATTGTATTGTAGGCATATAATTTTGGTGTACTGAGCGTGTTTGATGGCTGAGAAACCAAAAGAGGCCTTATATAGCTTTAAAAAGGCCAGGCAATCTGGAAAGCTCTTGTAACTGTCAGAAAAAAGGAAGTGCAGATAGGAGATCACATTTTGCAAGATTTGGAGGGTTTGTAGACCTTATCTGTTGTAATCTGCAATGCCCTAGCACCCTTTTTGTGGCCATAGCCGTTGGTACAATTTGTAAATCACCATTTGGAAAGCAAGAGTTGAGGAAAGATTTGAGATGGAAACCATTTGAGGTGTTAGTTTCAAGATAGATGATTTCGTCCCCACTAATAACATTCTTACATAGAAGTAGATTAAAAAACTTGATCATCCTTTAAAAAAATGCATCAGACGACATTTATTCAAAAGAGCCAAGGCATGTAGAGTTAATGTAAATAATCGCGTTAAATTATTAATTGATAAGTATGCTAAAAAAATATTTAGTTGAGTTGGTCATTTTCTGAATTTCTTCCATTAAAATAACTAAATTAATTAGGTAAAGCAAGAAAGTGGATCATTCTCAAGGGAGTGCCACCTTTCTAGCTACTACCGAGAGAGAGATTTCTGGCTTGTGTTTCACTTCCGAACTTGTTCTTTCTTCTTGAGGGAGGAAGATACTAGACATTTAAAAGGGTGAGCAGTTATTTTGTACAGAACAAGCTAAATTCCTTTACAATTACAGTTGTGACTTGAGAGCTGGTGGATTCATTGTATTTGACATTTGTTGCAGTGTATCATATCATGTGATGTCCACAAGCTAAGCTACTTGAACTTGATCCGTGCTTCCCCTTATCGTGGGCTCATTACCTACATATAATGTCATTTTTTACATAACTAGCTAACACGTTAACCACGCAGGCATTTAATCCGTAATTACTAAACTCCTAGAGGTTCATTCTCCTAAGAACGTTTTATTCCCTTTCTTTTTGGCCATATGTAATATAGTAAATCGATTTAAATATGAGATTTAATTTCTTAATTCATCATGATTAAGAAGAAAAGTAGTTAATTTATTTAGTAATAATAAATTTGTAAATATATGTATTTATAAAATTAACTCTACATTATTTTTTTTTTCTAATTAATATTATTATATCTTCTAACCAATTAGAATATATGCTTTATATATTTTTCTTCTATTCAATTTGAGTAAATATTGTTTTAAAAAGTTGATAATTAATATATTTTACTAAATGGAGATAATATATGTTAATTAAAGATATTTTAATTTAAAAATAATTAATATATAAAATAATATGTATTGAATCTTTAAAAAAAAAAAAAAAAGTTCTATAAAGAAAAACGTGTATATCGCCTTCTCTCTGTACCTCCTCCACCAACTGGAAAAGGCTTTTCCATCCTGAGAGGAAATGGGATTGGTTCTTTTTGTCCAAATCAAGCATTGCCACGTAAAGTATTTGACATGATAAGAGGGGAAGTTTCGTAGTGAGAAGAATCTATAAAGAGACTTGTTCCCTACCTGCAACCCTTTTTCTCACACTTTAACCTAAACAGATAATTATTTGTTTACGCCTCTTTGTTGGACATTTAATAGTAACGCCAAACTTACAATACAAAATCACATAATAATATGTGTAATTATATAACAAAATCAGTAGGGATCGTGACAATATCGCCTCAATACAAAATTATTGAAAGTGTCAAATCAGGTGTTGATATATTCATTTGAACCCGTGGCTTCCATGATCGTTGGACACTTCGACTAGCATTTGTAACAACTAAGATCATAGTTAGGTTGGCACAGAAATTAAGAGGAAAAAAAAAGGTTGGTACACTGTGAAAATCTTTACATGGAAGCCGCTATAAACTTTACTAGGGGGAACTATGGGGACTAAAAGCAAAGAGCCATATCAATTCGCTTTTTTATTTGTAGTTAAGTTAGAGTTTAATTTATACACATATTATTTTTATATTAAAAAGATATTACTCTTTTCCCTTTATAATAAATATAACTCGTTGACATTTTATATCTATATTGAATTACTGATTTTTATTTTAATTATATATACAAGATATTTTTACACAAACTTATAAATATGTTTGGTGATTTACCTGGTATTATATTTAGTCCACAAAATTTCGAATTCAAATTTTAAATTTAATAAAAAAATGACATCGAAAAAGATAATAAAAAAACTTAGAAATACTCAATAATAAGATTTTATTATGTGATAAAATGCTTCCTCATTAAACAATTATGTACAAATATTTTATACACTAATAGTTTTTATAACTGAAATTTAAAGTAGCTCGAAAATAAAAGTATGAAAAGCATATGGTTAGTAGTTAAAACGTGATGGCATATTTTTAGGGTGAAGAAATAGTAGAGATGGGAGGTGGAAGTTGAAGTGGATCTGATTCGCATCACGTGGACTCCACAGTTTCGGCAGGTTTTGACCAGAGCAGTAAAGTCGGTTAATTACTCCTAACTAGGTGGTGCAAAAGTGAAAATAAAATAAAAAAGAAGGAGCAAATTGCAAAGCAAAAGAAATAAAAAGAGGGTATAACACAATCCTTAGAATTAGATTGTTGAGCGTCGCATATTTGTGTTTTGTACTATATTGTGTTCTGGCACTGAGAAATAGCATTCTAGGATAGAAGATGGCCTCACAGGTTTGCAAATCTGCTTCCAGAGCCGCGAGGTCCCTTCTCTCTGCTTCCAGGGCCTCTCGTAACCACCTCCTATCCTTTCTCTCTCCTTATCATTCTCTAAACAACCTCGTACCATGTTTTTGTCTCTCTATGTTTTGTTTCATTTGATTTTGATTTAAACCTTTGAATTTGATATCACCTACGTGAAATTAAACAAATGGAGGTTCTGACCTTTTATTTATTTTTTCATGTCCTTCGGATTATCTACGCAGAACCTTGAGATAATTCATATTTTTCTCCCTTTTTTGTGGGTTTTGCATTTGATATGTGTTTGTATTTTGTTATGGTTCTTGTAAGGGTTAGGAGTAACCAAATGTGAATGTGCAAATTGAATTTAGATTTTGTGTTTTCCTGAGATGACAAATGAATCTTGACCTTTACAGAAGGACGTGCGGTTGCGGCTGGGGCCGCCGGT